AGACAGATATCCCAGATGTCCTGTAGACAGATCTCCCAGATGTACTGTAGACAGATCTCCCAGATGTCCTGTAGACAGATCTCCCAGATGTCCTGCAGACAGATCTCCAAGATGTACTGTAGACAGATCTGCCAGAGGTAATGCAGAGGAACTGTAGACGTATCTGCCAGGGGTACTATAGACATATCTGCCAGAGGTGCTGCAGATGTACTGTAGACATATCTGCCAGAGGTACTGTAGACATATCTGCCAGAGGTGCTGCAGAGGTACTGTAGACATGTCTGCCACATGGGAAAGAGAAACAGATGCATCAAAGTTCTAAATAGCTCCTTGGCAGCTTTTCCAAACATTTATGGGCAGACAGGAGATCACACAGCTTGTGCTTTAATTACCTGCCTTTCTTCTTTAACTTTCCTGTAACACACACATTCATACACATGATGCACATTATACAAACACACTGCACATATACATGACACATACTACAAACACACACACTACACATGACACACATTCACACTCAGACATTATATATACTCACAAATATGCATACTACACACATATTACACATACATACTATATACACAGTACACATACCACATAGTACACATATACACTCACACACTACACAGACTATACACACTCATACTTGCACACACATCACACGCAGATGGGTTACTGGGGACAGAATGATAAAATTACTTGCAATTTAAAAATAAAACACTTTCCCAGAGCTGTTGTATTTTTTTTCTTTCCTCAAAAATTCTGAGCCTCTTGTGAGGCAGTGATGACCAGATGCTTCTAACTCATCCTAATGGACACACAACCATTTGCTCTGTCTTTCCCTGAGAGTTTGCATGGCCCTTGCTTTCCTGAAATGGAAGCGAACACATTTTCTCCTCAGGGTTTAGGGACTAAGCAATGGGCACCCTGGGTTTCACTCCAGTGAGGTTTTCACAGTGGAAAGAATCTTCCAGGACCTCCTTCAGGACACTGCCAAATTACTACATGTAATTTGAAGCCTGAGTGGAGTAATGCCATGAGGTGCTGCTGCCCCTGCACCCTCTTTGTTCCATTCCCCCCACATTCTGTTTCCTTCCAGTGTTGCTCAGCCTGTCTTCAACTCTGTGAGAGCAAGCGGGTACAGCCCCAGGAGGGAGGAGGCTTCCCTTCCTTGCTTGCCCTTCCCTATCCCTCCTGCCCCCTTTTACCCCTCCCATCGCCCTCTACCCCCCCCCCCCCCCCCCCCCCCCCCCCGCACCTCCTGTGCCCTTGCTCTGCCTTCCTGGTTTCAGTTCTGGATGATAACTGACAATAGCAAGGAGACATTGTAATTGACCCTCCCATTCCAGATTTCCTTTGATTTTCAGTCTCAGAAGTGTTTGCTCTTTAATCTTGTTTATTTCATGGTGAACAGTTCTGTTGGAATAGCCCACACTTTTAGCATTACAAAAGTCCGTGCTTATGGAAGAGGACAAGACTTCCAGCTTAGAAACTGCTCCTTTGATGGGATTCAATGATGGAGCCTGCATATTCCAAAACATTCATTCTCCAACAGGCATTTCTGCTTCTAGAAATTTATTCATATTTATAAACAAGCATAAATGCCTTTTATAAAAGTAATTTTCTTTTGGGGTGCATGCCGCTAGCTTTTCTTCCTTTCCTTTTCCTGATAGGGTACATAAAAGAATGTCAATGATATTGATTTACATGCTGCCCCTATTAACACAGCCTAGGATAATTTTCAATACAAATCACTTAGATTCCAGCAGATGAATGCAAATTAGATCTTTTAAATCAGAAGTGAGAGAAAGCATTGAATTATAATTGCAAAGTAATATAATCAGACATCAGTAGCTTCAGACGGCTTTGTTGGTTCTGCTGAAAGGGCTGGGCATTCCATGTGAGCCCTGTTTATACCTCAAGGCCCAGCTGGTCACGGACTGGCCTCTGCCTCAGTCAGGGAAGTACAGGCAATGATTCTATGGTGTGAGTGGCCTTGGTGTTTTACTTCTGTATTGATCTATTTGTGTGTTCTTGCTTATATTCATTTCATTTTTGTTTTCAGTTGACATGTGGTCGGTAGGGTGCATCATGGGAGAAATGGTAAAAGGTGCAGTGCTATTTCCCGGCACTGATCGTATCCTTCAGCGGCCACTGGTCTCTGTGCACCCTTCTCAATTTATTTCTTTTGTTTCCAATGCAAGACTGCTCAAGATCTCCATTCACAGCCCTCAGAGAGTTTCCGTGAGATCAAATGTCAAGTATTTGCAAGCTAGCTTCATGTTAGAATAACCTCAACTCCCAGAAAGACCTTCCATGGATGGGATAGTGGGAGACATGAAAGGTTCAGCCTTGCATTGAAATCTCCGCCTTACTTCAGTTCTTCCGAACTCACTCTGTTTTATTATTCTGCTTTTAGAGATTAAAAAATGGAGACATATATATGTAGCGAGACAATAAATGACCAAGTCAGTGTTCACACTGAAGCTTTACGGTTTTGTATCATAAGAAATATTCATTTAGTGTGGCGATCCAAAGTTCACCCACAAGTGTGATTTGTTTAACGCAGGTCCAGACAACATGTCTGCACATCTCGTTTTCACCCTCATCAACCACTTTTCAAACACTCTGGATTATTCACTTCACTTACAGGGAAGGAATTTCTCCAAACCTGCTCTTCTTTTCTGAGATCATTAACCAGCAGTATTTAATACCTCCTTGATTAACAGTGACTAGATAGAACATCTGGAGAAGTCATTTAAATCACTCTGAGAAATAAAAGTAATCTCTCTAAAGTAGCAACTGATTAAAGGAGTCCAGAGGTCCCGGGTGGACATGCTGCCGAACACCACCTAGAAACAGCCTGCCCCCTGAGGAAGCGAAATGCCTGCTGTGTTTGGTCACGTTTGATGATGATCTGTCTTCATCATTCTAAGGGGAAAACCTGAAGTGAAGTGTTCATGATTTAAAAGCAGCTTTGAGTCGCTAATTATGGGCTAATGTCTAATTAGTCTGATTTAATAACATCATGTGATTATCTACTCTCTTTAAGTTTTTAAAACCCTGCCATCTCCATGGATAACATGATGTGTGTGTGTCTGTGTGTATGTGTGTATTTCATATACAGTTCCACACACATATGTAGAGTATAGCATTATAACTTCATACATACTTTCCTTAGGTTTAAAAGGAACAATTCAGAAATTTACAAGGTGGCAGAGAGTGATCAAGGAAAGACAGCAACACCTACCTTTAGCCCCCGCCCCCCACCCCCAGGCATGTAGGAGCACCTACACATGCACATGTGTGCACACTCATACATTCACACACATCTATACTGCCTACGCAGCACACAAAACACCACAAATAAACAAAAAGGTAAACGTTTTACTTCTGTTTTTGCTAAGATGTTTTTCCTCTAGTCTTAAACTATGACGCCCTGACTTTAAAAGTATTTCTGTCCTTATTGCTATTTTGTTTCCATTAATACATTTTATTCAATGCTATCTATAAATTTACCTATTAGTGCTAATGTTAATTCTGTTTTGAAGATATGTTGGCTTGATCAAAACAAAAGTACTTCATTTTTCTGAAAAGAAACCAAAACTAGGATTTCTTTCATTCCCTACGAATCAGTTGCTTTTTTCTTAACATTTGGGAATAAATTTGAATTAGTCTGTATGCTCTTTGCTCTTCCAGAAATTCATTAGAATTGAATCGCTGCAGATTAAAGCAATGTTTGCCACCTGAAGATTAGACTAACAGTTTCCATTTCTGATTGTAGCATACTGCAAGATTCCCCAGCAGAGCTACGGAACACAGCCCAGCATTATTACCATCACTTCCTGGGAGAAACTATTTCGGCATCACTGTTTAATCTGAAAGTCAAAACCCCTAGTCAACAATTCTTAAGACCCCTGTAATGTCACAAGGTCATACCGCATAGACCGTATGTGAGGCTTGGATAGTGAGCCTTTTTCTGGGTATCTCAGAGACACATATGTAAATTTCTTGGGAAACCAATTAACTGCGGTTCATTAATGATATTAAGCCCATTGGTTTAGTTTAAGTTAGTCTTTTAAATGTAAACTGTAACCACTGACTATCATAGAGTTAGCCTTTAAAGTGCAAGATGTACTACTTACCTTAATAAGTATTTGTTATCAAAAGGAACTTATTTAAAGAGAAAAAAATTACACTGAAAACTATTAAAGAGAGGCTTTAGAATGGAGCCAGAGATGAGGAGTCTGTAAAATTACAACCTGTTCAACACGTTATAAAGCCATGTTGCTTTAAAAGTCAATAAACACATCTGTTTGAAAGCGTTCTCAAAATAAATGATTTCTAAAAGCCCTTACATATCAGCCATGCACATCATTTTGATATAGTTAAATAGCAAAGGGGATTTTAATAAAACTTTCATGTTCTTTATATGACAAAAAAATACAACATATTGTTTTTAGTGGGAAATTTAGAAATTAGCCAAATAGTTCTTAAAGTTGTAAATATTTCACAAGTAGGTTTTTAAAAATATCTATTAAATAAATCTCATTCCATCATAATGTTTTTAAGTCTGTACAGATTAATAAGAATTTAGTTTCAGCAATGTGACAGATGACTCAGAGGTTAAGAGCACTAGCTGCTCTTGAAAGTAACTTTGGTTCCATTCCCAGCACCTACAACTGTCCATAACTTCAATCCCAGGGAAACCAGGGGGATGTTTTTCTTTCATAATTTTGAATTATTTTATTTTTGAGATTATAATTACATCATTTCCCCTTTTTATTTCCTTTCTTCAAACTCTCCCATATAACCCTCTCTGCTCTTGTTCAAATGCATGACCTTTTTTCATTAATTGTTGTTAAACACACATGTGCGCATGCGCGCACGCACACACACACACACACACACACACACACACACACACACACACACACCTAAATACATACATACAACCTGCAGTTTTCTGTATAATATTATTTACATGTAAGTTTTCAGGGCTTAACATTTGATATTTATTTGATACAATTGGTATGCTGGGCTGGAAGTCGGGGATTGCTTTCCTCTTTAAATCTGAATATAAAAAGCTTTGCCAATGCCTCACTTGGCATGTACTTTTCAACAGGGTTGAATGTAGCCCAGGCTGGCCTTGAACTCATTGTTCAGTCCAAAATCCACGTGGACATCTGATCCTCCTGTTTCTACTTCCCAAGGGCTCAGCTCACGGGTATGCCCCAAGCTGCCTGGTTTATATGGTGCTGGGGGTTGACCCAGGGCCTGTAGAGGCTGGTCAAGCTCTGCCACCTGAGCTATCACCCCAGCTCTCTCTTCCTGACCTCACAGAAATCTGGCTGTCCCCTCTTAACAATCCAGTGTACATAGCGATACCCAGAAATTAGCATGGCCTTCCAGAGATGTGTCCTAGGATGGAGCACAGTGTCCTGCAGCCCATCGTCCATAGAGTCAACAATGGTGAGTGAAACCATTTGCATTAGTGATGTCACTAGAGTGAAAGGGACTTTGACCTTCTCATCTCTAAAACACAGATGTCAAATCTTTTGTCAACTTTCAAAATGCAATCACATGCAAGTAAGACAGATCAATGTTTGTGAAGCCAAACCACTGCCCCAGGGAGAGGCTACCCTTTCCATCAGAGAACGAAGACTGCCATGGGAAGTTAAGAACAGTCTCCCAAAGAGCCTATGCAGACAAGGAGTCCAGGAGGTTACCCTTCAATAGCTTACAAAGTGTTGCTTCTGCAACATATCCTAATACATGTTAGAAAACATAATTCTTGTCTACTTTTGATTTGTAAAGATAGATTACAATAATAGACTTATAAGAAAAACCAATTTTCGCATGTCCAATAGTAGGCCCCGGAGGCTTGTCCTCACTGAGTCACTGAATCAGGTTCAAGACTGCATGCTCTCGCTTATCATACTTCCTCCTGTGTCCACTCTTAAGGAACACACTGTTAATGAATTGTGCCTTAAACATTTCTTCATGTTTTGTGTTATCAGAAACTGAGGAATATTTTTGAGACAAAAAAGAACATTTGCAAATAAAAAAAAATAACACAGCTAAAAACTTTGTTCTTCCCACCACCACCACATAGAGCCTTGCACACACCCCTGAGCTGCATTCCCAGCTCCAAACTAAAATCTTCTCAAAGGAATAAAACCACTCAAACACAACCAACAGTAGAGAGAACTCTCTTTAGTGTGTGTGTGTGTGTGTGTGTGTGTTTCCACCCTGATCTTCTTACAAATGCCCTCAAGTGTAAAAGTGCTTTTAAAACCTAATTTTATTATGATTACCAAGGCAAGCTGGGGTCACTGTGTGGTGTGTGGAAGATGTTTCTGTGCAGCTGAGCTCACTGTGTGTGGGAAAGACACCTGTGCTGTCCTCAGCTGACCTCATGGGAAATGCAGCACTCAGTTCTCTTCCTCCTCTGTAGTCTTTCCTCCACAGGAGCTCAGTAGTCTTGGCTATCATATCCCCATTTTCAAGACAGTAAAATGTGAAAGAGAGAAAGATTGGGACTTTTTCCTTTCCCTGACTTCTTTCCAGAGAATTGGCCTGTTAAGTGTGCTATGGTATGGAGTGATCTCTTCAAGAATTGGAACCTGTTATGTTCTGTACCATAAACACAGAAGCACAGTCAAATCTTCTCTCCTCTGGATGTAGTAACTCACTGGAGAGGGTTAGGATATTCTAGATTAACATTTCTCTAAATGTAGTCCCAGGACTGCCTGGATAGCAGTTACCACCAGTGTTTCTTCTGTGATAATCACTGCACACCTAAGAATTTATATTCCTACAGTTAAGTGGTATGTGTTGGGGTTGCAGGGAGGTTTTGTAACTTTTCTGCATTACTAATATTTGAGTTTGTGAACATGGTTTCCTATCATGACACTGAATACACAGCACATGTGCTCATTTCACTTCCCTTGGAGACCTTACCAATTTACATTCTATCCTACAGAGCTTAACTAAAGCCACAGAGCCACACTCAGCATCATGCCTACATAGTGGCTAGTTGGAGATAAAAGGACATCTTCTGGAGCTATTAAGTATAGATATTGCACATGGCGATGCTGTCTTTAGGAGCCAAGTAAAGAACTGAGAGAGAAATATTGATGGTCTTGAAGTTGCAAATGCAGTCTGTGGAATCTTCACACTGATGACTGAGTAGTGGGCCTAAGATAGTGAGTCATTAGGCATGCCAATATTGTCTCTAGAAATATCATGTTTAGGAAGAGAATAACCAAAGACAGATAGAAAACAAATAAAAGAGTAATTCAAACTGCATGATAGGACAGAAACCCCAGAGAGCTCTTTAACAGTCTTCTGAAGGTAGAAATGGCAGAGTATAAATTTCATTCATAACTATAACCCAAATACCCAGAAAACAGAAGGTATTTTCCATCAGTACACTCATCAGGGAATGTGTCTCAGAAAGTTCTCCAACCAGGGACACTAAGTAGCGCTTAGAGTCTGAGTTCTCAGTCTGACAGAAAAGCTTGCAGCCTGTGGCTCCAGCAGCTCATCCTTCCTTCCTTTGAGTACTTTGGTACCATTCTCCTAGGATGGTACCACTCAAGGAAGTCTTTAGTAATGATCACTCTCCTTTGCCAAGTATCTCATCTACAACCAAGAGCAAAGGATTTGAATTGCCACTCTATTTAATCTGCAGTGAACTTAGAATTAGATGAGGAAATTTGCTGTCATAATTTTAATTAAGTGTCTTTTTCCTGTTAATATTGAAGGTCTTAGATAATTTATCTCAGGATGACATTTTCTGACATCATAGATCTGAATGTAAACGTCCATATGTTGACTACTCTTTTCATAACTGCACATTCCCTTCATTGTCCTATACAGCTTGAAAATGCTCTAATGCTGTATTTTCATAAAAATAATATTAGCAATTAATTTCCAAAGAATGCATCGTATGATGTCAGCATATAACTAATACCAGTAAATTCTTATATATTTAAAAGTACAAATTGTGGTGGTAATCTGACCATTTTCTTTAAAATTTCACCTTATTTTCTTTCAAAATGTGTATGATAATTTTAGTGGAAAAGTGTTGATGTGAAAGACTAAGACAAGCACATTGGAGATGCTCTCTGAGACACATACACCTGGAAAATCACACCATGAACTTTAGACCAAAGCAAGTCAGTTCCTTCTATCACATTAGCTCCAGATTGCCTGTTTTCTTCACAAAAACTGACTTGAACATGAGGAAAACAAGTCCTTCTTATCTAGACAGGCAGACATTTGTAGGAAGAAAGGACTTGAAAGGAGTGTGCTAAAAGAAAGGCACTCTTTCTTAAAGAGGGTTGTACCCAGTATTTGCTGCAATATTTAACTATTTCACTGACATAGTTTTAATAGATCCAGTGTCTCTGCATACTGAATGATGCTTCATCTAAAAGCACTCTCAGGTAGGAAAGGTCACCCAAGTACTGTTAGAGACTCAAATTGTTTTTTGAATACCAGGACATGTGACTCTCCTAACATTTTTACCAAAAATACCATAGAGTTGCTTTAGGGCTGCTTCTTTGGATGCATTTAGTTATGAGCAGGGTGTGGCTACCCCATCTTAGAATCCTAGCACTTACCTGGAGGAGGCAGGAAGAAAGTTGGGGCTTGAGAGCCACACTACAAGTCTGAAGCTGAACTGAGCTGCAAAAACAAAAAACAAACAAAAATAAGAACAACTTCAACAACAACAGAAAAAACAAAACCAAAGAGACACTTGATTCTGTGTTGAAGGTTTTTATTGACTACTTTCATGACTCTAACTGAATGAAACTAGAATTAAATAATAGGTTGATGATATTTTGCCAAACTTGTTAAATACCTTCTTTGTAGAAAATCTAGAAACTTCTTTGCCTCTTTTAAGCATAGTATTAACTCTTACCCTTTAGAATTCAAAGTAAGTTTGAGTAATGAGTCAATGATAGCTTGATGGGGCATGTTAACCCAATTGCATTAGAGAGAAGGTCTTTTTTATGTTTACAATGACAACTGAGCTTTAAACACCATGAACATTTTTCTAAGTATTGATATCTATCTATCTATCTATCTATCTATCTATCTATCTATCTATCTATCTATCTATCCTATCTACTCATATATTATCTATAGCCATAGACTTGAATTTTTGCATAAGAGTGATTAACCAATCTAATACAGTGAATTTCTTTATTTCTAATAATTCTGATTCCCTTCTGTAATCTCAGGCCCACAATGACATCAGTGAAGTTTCACTGACTCTTGGTTTGTTCTTGCCATTGTCATGTTAGGGAATGCTTATCCATTTTTCCCACCTGCATTTCATTTCCAGACAGTCCATGGCAATTTATATTTTTTATTATAATAACTAAGTTTTACTCATCCAGGTTGCAAGGGAGGTAGAAATTTGCAATGAACTTGCTTTTATCTTTGTTTGATTGCCTGTCTACCATTTGCAGTTTATATTAATGCTAAATATGTTTTTTTTTGTCTTTTACTGGGACAGTCAGCCTTTTTGATCCAACTCTTGAATAGCTAAGAGGAAAGGCTTTGCAAACTTTAATTAGTATTATGTTAAAGTTTTTGAAGTGCCTTGTATTACTTTAGTAGGATGGAATTGACAGTGAAGGATGGAGTTGTAGAAAAATAAAAGGGGCAGGAGTTGGAATGAATGCAAATCTGCAAGACTCAATCCTGTTTGAAATCAGCTGCCTATAAACAGTGACTTTGATAATAATGATAGACAATGACTGTGATTGACTACAGTAGACAGTGACTGTGATAGAGTGACTGCAGTAGACAGTGA